CAACATACTTACATAGTTCTAAGGGGTTACAACATACTTACATAGTTCTAAGGGGTTAACAACATACGTACATAGTTTTAAGGGGTTAACAGCATACTTACATAGTTTAAGGTGTTAACAACATACTTACATAGTTCTAAGGAGTTAACAACATACTTACATAGTTTAAAGGGTTAACAACATACTTACATAGTTTAAGGGGTTAACAACATACTTACATAGTTCTAAGGGGACAACAACATACTTACATAGTTCTAAGGGGTTAACAGCATACTTACATAGTTCTAAGGAGTTAACAACATACTTACATAGTTCTAAGGAGTTAACAACATACTTACATAGTTCTAAGGGGTTAACAACATACTTACATAGTTCTAAGGGGTTAACAACATACTTACATGGTTCTAAGGGGTTAACAACATACTTGCATAGTTCTAAGGGGTTAACAACATACTTACATAGTTCTAAGGGGTTAACAACATACTTACATAGTTCTAGGGGTTAACAACATACGTACATAGTTCTAGGGGTTAACAACATACTTACATAGTTCTAAGGGGTTAACAGCATACTTACATAGTTCTAAGGGGTTAACAACATACTTACATAGTTCTAAGGGGTTAACAACATACGTGCATAGTTCTAGGGGTTAACAACATACTTACATAGTTCTAAGGGGTTAACAGCATACTTACATAGTTCTAAGGGGTTAACAGCATACTTACATAGTTCTAAAGGGTTAACAACATACTTTCATAGTTCTGAGGAATTAACATACTTCTAAGGGGTTAACACATACTCACATAGTAAGGATCTTCAATAATAAGTTGACCTTTGGGGTCATATGAACCAAACAGTTCAACTTTTGCAGTAGAATTTTTGGGTTTAACACGATTTATATTTCTGAAAAAAAAAAAAATATATATATACTGATGATATTATACATCTAGAACCAAATACTATAGAATTTACTGTTCCGTACAAAGCCTTAACAGCCATCCTTCCAAACGTATCAGAACTCATTTAAACATTTGAAATTTGCCTTGTACAGGAGAACTATGTTCCAGGTTATTGATGTCTTATTTGAACACTTTTCTTTGTTTATACTGGACACAGAAGCATTATATAGTGCACTATAAAAACTATATTCTGTAACTAACACAAACAATTGCACAGCCCAAAATGCTGCTCGGTACGATCACTACACAACCTTTGGGCATACATTGTGATAGTCTCATGATCATAACCTCATATTATATGGTGACATGCAATGAGGGATACATTTCTAAAAAAAAAGGGGAAAATATCATTTTCTCCCAATAGCATTGACTGTTTTTCCATTTTACTTACTGCATGTTACTGTTATCCATTCCAAAAATGTATTCAAATTTTGTAAAATCTTCCTGGGTTATCTGTAGGTAATTCAAATGAAAAACAATGGAATGAAAGTCTTTTTGACAAATCACTGTAATAAGTGAAATAACATCTAATATTGTTGCCAGGGAGATACGTGTTCCAACATCACATATTGGAAGCTATTTATTGAATATAATAGAAAGTGACATAAACTACAAACGTGTGCGTGTCTAGTTTCAACTGAGGGTACTAAATTTCAAGGAAAATATTTCTAAATGTACTTAAAACTGATTGAAATTATCAGTAATATTGCAAAGTGCAATACCAAGGTACCAGTAGTCTGTAAAGGTGACTTCAAGACTAGTGTAGTAACTGCATTTATTTGTACGAGAACTCAAGATAGCAATTTTTTTTTCAGGTGAAAAATTCAACTATTATACAATAATTATAAACTATGTGATGACATCACGTACAAGAGATTCTTGTATAGTGGTCGTATTGCTCGAGTGTAGGGTGTCCTGAGTCAAAGATGATGTCACACCAATGAGAAATACCAAATGATTATTTACCTATCATATGGATGGACCATGATAATTTGAAATTATGACCCAGTTTCGAAGGGAATATATTTTGTCCTTAATGTTTTACGAAATTATCGCACCAGGATATGCCAGACTCAGATGGCTAGTTTCTATGGAAATGGTCATAATGTTGCAAGGTTTTTTGGGCATAAAAATATTAACATTTCCACATATGCATTTATTAAAAAAAGGCAACATTCCCCCTTATAATGCTGTGCTTTTGAAAACTGATTTTTGTTTACAAATTAAAAGTAGTTCCGACCATATTATTTTAATTATTACATCAGAAGTGCAAGGAAATCCGAGGAAAGCATAATACATAATTGGCTTCAAGCTGTACTAATTGTTGTAGCTATGATAATAGTTTGCAGTACTTGATTCACACCACGCAACTATAATTTTAGCTAGTGTTATTTTTTTATGCTGGTATTATTTTTTTGACTTTGGTTAAAAACATACCCCATACAGATAACATCCTTTTTCTGTACATTGCCAGCCAGTGGTGAGCACTTTGTAGTGACATCGGAAATGAATGTTCCAACTTGCATTAATTAATTTACTTTTTTTTAGCAAAGAACCACTAAAAATGGAGTCATGAGTAAGGTAATGTTTAATTTAGAACTTTCTATGGCAACAGTCTTGGGCGATTTCATTCTCATTCTTCACAATTACATGTCCAAATTTACTCAGTATATTTAAAAATTAAAGATCTATTTTAATTCAGTAAATCAAATTGTATGTAATCTTCACATGAAATATTTGCATATTCCACAAAAATAATTAATGAGTGCGCACACACTGAGAAGCATGTACACAGGTGTTGGCTCTCTACTTTTCACATTCATCCACTTTCTCATGGTCAGTTTCATGAATTTCTTTCTGAAGTAGTTGCACTTACAATAAAAAGTGTATATCATGGCTATTGCCGAAGAAAGAGTATGGTAGTACTGATACTGACAGTTGTTTTTGCACTCAAAAAATTTAATTTATTTATTAATACTGCTTCTTGAAATACCTCTTGTCTAGTATTGGTTGTGGAGGACCTCTAAGTAACCTATTTTAGTTAATTGTTATATCTAAATTATGAGTTATTCAGTGTCTACAATGTGTTTGCATGTACTGATAATAAACTGTTATTCAATGACAAATACTGAAATGACGCAACAGTCAAAATGATGTAATACGAAAGTTTGATTTGTTCACATATCAGGTAGCTTGTAATCATCATACAACTTTTCGCAAATTGAATTCCCATGGAAACCACATGCTAATAAATGATAATGAAATTTGATTTTTATCAAGCCAATATATGCAGCACAAAAAAACAACACAAAAACTAAGGATGATGTACGGAAGTTGAACAGGCCATGCATGGCACAGTCCTCGTTAGTTATTAAATTTAAGATATATAGTTTTGTTTATAGTAATATAGCTGGAATATAACCATGTCAGGAATATGATTTTTTAACATTAAAATGATTGACATTTGTATCTGATCGT